CTTGATACTATTATTATTATTTTATCCTTACCACCTTATTTCGATTTTGTGTTTTGATTGTTTCTGCTGGGTTTCCCAGGCTGTGAAGCACAGGAGGAGTGAATGCATAGTGACAATAACTGATACAAATGTTTATGGGGGATACAGGGGTAGAGTCTGTTAGGGAGGGAAAGGGGATTTAGAGAGTAAACAATGAAGGTGGGACTGCAGAGGGAGCATTAGAACTGATTGTGATTATACAACTCATGGTGGGCAGTTGAGGGTGGGTGGTTCTAAATTGGTGGGGTAATGATTCTACAATTCATCTTGATTTGATTGAACAATTGAACTATTGAATTTATGATATATAAATTATGTGACACTAAAACTGTTGGAGATAAAAAGAACACACACAAATATTTCTGATTTATTATTTTGGAGTGGTAAGGAACAGAAGAGACAGAATAAGAAAGTCCAACATATGTCTAATAAGAATTTCAGACAAATAATAGAGAGAACAGTGGGAAGACATATATGAAGAAGTAATGTTACAACTTTTAAGAATTCAAAACACAGGGTAATCATTTGATTAAAGAAGCACAAAAAAATACTAAAAAGAAAAATTATATATACACCTACATATAGCATGGTGAACTGTAAGAAAACCCCAAACACCAAAGAGCATTGGAGAGTAAGTAGTCTTCATAGCAAGCAGGAGAGAGAGGACTAATAATCAACAGTAATATCCAGAAAATACGGGGATTATTTCTTCAAAGCGATTGTCAATTTATAAGTCTGTGCTCCATATATTTATTATCCAAGTGTTAGGATGAAATATAGTTCCAAACAAACCAACAAACAAAAGATTAAGATTTGTATGTGCATAGCAACATCTATAAGATGACATTTGAATCCAGAGGGAAGGAAACAAAACCCAAGTAAGCAGAAACCATGCAGGTAAAAAAAGATGAAAAACATACTGCATGAAGAGGAACACAGTGGGGCAAAAAGAAAGGAAAGGAACACAGAGAATGTATAATATGTCATGGACTACATGACTATACAATATGATGGGACAGGGATCATAATCAGAATTAAAACATTGTAAGTTCATATATCATCAAGGTATATTTTAATAAAATACGTTAAGATGACACATGAGTATGCAAAACAAGAATAACCACTGAGAGGATAGTACTGGAATATATCACTTTCCATCAATAGAGGACAAGAGCTCCCGCATTGTTCTCCAGTCAATTCTGACTCAGTCTGCCCCGACAGAACAGAGTAGAACTGACACATCCTTCTCCCACGAGCATCTGGCGGATTCAAACCACCATTTCAGTTAGCAGCTAAGAATGTATCCGGTGCACAACTGGGGGTCCTTAAAAGAGCTTAATAAATCCAAAATAATTGGAAAGGAATGTTAAAAGTAGGAGACACAGAAAAGAGAAAGCACCTGGAAATGCCCTACAATAAGAAATACACTGTATTCTGAAATCGGTGTGCCATTAAAACGGGGAAGCTGATTCTGACTTTAAGGAGTAGGGCTTTGTTTGTTTGGGGGTTTGTTTGTTTAAGAACAGCCCATGTTATCAAGAGCTGAGTAAAGATGGGGAAGGATGGGCAAAGGGAGGATTCAAGTTGCAATGCAAGTCTCAAAGGAACTCCAAAATTAGTTGTCTTGAGTGGGGCTCCATACTCTGAATAACAATGACCGTATCAGTCACTGGATGTGGGCAGCTTGGAAGCAACAAGATCTTGGGGAGGGGGCATGCTTCTCCAGGGGCTGCCCTTGGCAAGCCAGGAAAAGACCATGGAAGAACTTGTTTCTCAGGTGCTGGAAGAAATCAGCAGACAGATCTCCCAGCACTGGAGAAATCAGTTCTTCCATAAAGAAAGGTTTCACAAGTCACAAAAACCCACTGCAAAAGAGTTGATTTCCCTCAAGAGTGCAATTTGGAATTATCCTTAAGGGTTTTCACGGCTATAAATCTTTTAAAGAGTCAGATTGCCACATTTGTCTCCAACAGAGTGGGTTTGAACCACTGAACTTTCCAAGTTCTTCCATCACCATGGTTTCTTCTGGGCAAATCCCTGTCCACCAGATCACCCCAAGTTGTCTTTAACAACCAGTGCTCATAGGAACCCATCTGTCCTGTGATCACATCCTCACCATCATGCCTCCTCTGAACTGTACTGCTTGACTTGTTCATGAAAAGAGCAATAGGTGAAAGTTGAATCCCTAAATCATTCTAACTCAAGATCTCTCCATGCACCCAAAGTAAATCCGATATGACATTACAAGTCACCATGGACTCTTCTTTCACAATTTTTAAATCGCAAGTTTCTAAACCAAAATAAAAATGTTATTCCTGTGTTTTGATACCATTATAATAAATGAATTCTTACTTGTACATACACTGTAACTGGTATTCATAAATGACACTTATCAGTAAATAACGGTTTCAAGATGAACAAATAGCTCCAAAATTAGAAAACCACATGTAATGGATTTCTTTGGCCTCAAACCCATAGCAACTCGATTCCAGAAGCAAACGAGCATGTCCCAGGGGTACCCTCTAGAGAAATTTAGGATAACTCATCTTTGCAATATGTCAAATCAGGATAAACTAAAAGGAAAATCAGTTGAGGGAAAAATTACAAGTAGATGAACTGCAAACGTACTTCACTTATAACTCTGATCACGGCTAGATGATCTCCACAATTCCAGCACATTGAATAACTGTACCTGTTTTATTTTTATTTTATTTTATTTTTTTGTAGATTGACCTTCTGTTATTTTAAAAAGAAAAGAGTCGGCAAATATCTGACTACTCGTGTCCTATAAGCATTTATCAGACATGAGTGAGCATTGGAAGAACCAAATAAGAAGATGTTATGCTGAAAGCGCATGTTGACACTAACAAGGTTTCTCTTTGGGGGTGTCAGGAGATAAATGAGGTGTCTGAAGAAGGAAACGCAACTGAATTTCTTTTACCTGAAGTGAAATCGGCCAGAATTACCCGATTTATGTACAAGTAAATCTCAGACTCTTCCCTACAGCTTCAGGTTGTACTCAAAAACAGGCTTAGGCACCCAAACAGGATTTGTTTTGTTTTATGTAAATTATTGATATAATAATTGCTTTCAGTAAAAGGAAAGAGGGGAAAATATATACTGCATTAAAAAAAACAACATCTGAACTTTCAGGTGTATTTTGGTTTTGTTTTAAATGTAATGTGCCTTTTATGCTTACAATTAATTCAAGGGTTTCAAACAGAAACCTCTGAATGCAAACGTGTAAAAAAGCAATGTAATGTAAAAGGGATGTGATTCAAGATTTTCTTTCATACAGATCTAAGATGTGGAAGGCATAGATTAACATCTCTGTTTAGTAGCATCATATACAAATATAATGCAAAGAAATCTTAGATGATATTCTCAAAGTATTGTTTAGAATTCATCCCAGGGGTGTGTGTGTGTGTGTGTGTGTGTGTGTGTGTGTGTGTGTGTGTGTGTGCAAATACATGTAGGGACTTCATAAAGCTTGTGGGGGGGGGAAATAGCCTAAAAAGAAATTGGTTTTTGTTTTTGTTTTTTTCAGGAATGTTTGAAGTCCCTTCCTCTGTTTATCTTAAAATGAATCACCCGGTAACGAAGAGCTAATTCCCTCTTTATACTTGCTTTAAACAGTTGGCTCCCGTGGGTCGGGATTTTTGTTAAAAGTACGCCACATGCACCAGTAGTCTGTAAAAATGGAAAGAAAGGAAATTTGGAGAAGAGAGAAGATAGGCAGGAGGGCGAGAGCTACCAGCTCTCTTTCCTGGCACCTTAGAAAGGGCTGGACCTGGAACACACGTTAGCATTCCTCACCCAGCATCAGACAGAGATTGCCAAAAGTTCCTGGCACCACCTCCTCCTTAGTGCTGAGGCTTGGGGACGCCCCACTTAGTGCCCAGTCGCCTGGGCGTGTGGGACCATGCCCAGCAAACTCTTGAATACTTCGGGCTTCTTCACGCCAGCCGCCTGCAGTCAATCAGCAGGCACGAGCGCCCGCTGAGCTCTTAGAACCATAAATCCTTCTCCCTTTCCCTCCGCTTCCTGGGCCCTCTCTTCCCAGAGACTTGCCAAGAGGTCCAAGGGCTGAGGCTGGCGCAAAAAAAAACCAAACAAACAAACAAAACCCAAGACGCGAAAGGAAAGGGGCCGGTGGTTGGATGTATTACCAGGGGTTTCAAGGAACCAGTGAAGACGACCATCCTGACCCGACACCCCCCCACCCCCGCCACGACCCCTACCCATCCGCCCCGCAACACCCACATTCTAGTTCGCCATCAAAGCGCGTGGGAAAGTCCAAGAAGGGGGAGCTCTCCCCACCCACCCCCAGCATCCTGGTCAGCCCTTACCTTGGGCTACACCCGCGGAAGCCGCCCTGCCTCCCGGGGTGGAGCTGCTGC